TTTATATATAATGTATATATATATTAAATATAAAGCATAAAACAACAGCTGCGTACAAACTAAATTTTTTCTTAATATTTTGACCTGTTTTTAAACAGATTTTAATACGTCATTAGACGTAAAATATAATACAAAAAAAAAGAATGCTTTTTAAAAAAACCCATAAACAATTACATAATAACATAAATATAAAACTAGCAAATATTTAATTCCTGTTTTTGGATAATTTTTTTAAACAAAGGTCTCCAACTGTTTGTAGAAATTTTAACACCATTGTCACGGTTGAGAAATATAAAAGCGTGTTTTATTTTGGTATGTTGAGGCGTAGTTAATTTCAACTAATTCTCTAACTTTACGTTCATCATACTCTGATTTTGTTGCCAGCGTTTTTAAATGTGACCAATCAAACCTACAATTACATTCTCTTCCATGTTCGGTTGCCCTAGATGCATCCCATTTACCTTTTAAATAGTTCTTTTAATGTACAATGCAACAATGCAATTCGTTAAAATTTTCTTTTTTGTTTCGCCAATGCATATACTGCCACAAGAGCATGTGAGTCTGTAAACACCGGGATTGTTATTGGGAATTAGTTTTGACTTGTTATTGCATAAAATAGTATTTAACGTAGGTGGTGTAGTAAAAATTATTCTGACGTTGCAAGGTTAATGCTCTTTTCTAAGTTTTTTACCTATTCTTGGGAGCCATGGATTCTTAACTGTATATTTACTTGTTTCTGTTTCATTATAGTTTATTTTAGAAAGGTTGTTTTTTCCTGAATTTAGTTCTTGGTAGTTGTTTTGAAACGAATTATAAACTTCCTAATTGTAAAATAACAAATTAAAGGTTTAAATATTTAACCGGTCTTTTCTTCATTAACAACCCTATTTTTATTGTAACAGTCAAATAGAAAAAAACGAACAATACGGGTTTTAAAAGCAAAAAATTTATTTAAAATATTACTATATTTTTTATAAGTTTAAATCTAAAACATATTATTAGTTTGCGCGCAGATAAAATTCTTTATTTCTATTCATAAATTAATTTGAAGCAATTGTTTTTTTATTATGAAAAATGAACCAAAATCTTGAATTTTTTGAGGTTTTAAAGAATTTTATTCAAAAGTTTTATTTAAAATTTTATTTAATATTTTGAATCAACAGGAAAAAGTATTCAAAGTTTTTAATGGTAATACAAATAAATCGTATGAAGATTTCCTCACTAGCTTTAACTCTCTTCAAGACAAACACGCACCGCTGAAAAAACTAAGTAATCGTGGCTTAACTTAGAGCCTTAAACCATAGATTACTTCAGGAATTTTAACCTCGATAAAAAAGAAAATTATATATTTGAGAAGTTCTTTAAAAAATTTAAATTTATATGACAAATTAATTTTTGAAAAAACTTACAAATCCTATAGAAATTTACTTGTAACACTTATTTGTAGAAGCAAAAAGAACCACTTTTCTAACTACTTTACTACTAGTAGCAATAGTTTGAGAGCTACGTCGAAGGGTATTAAAATTCTTTTAAATATACGTTTGAATGATATCTCATATCCATCTTGTATATCTTCAAACAATACCATTATAAATGATCCAGTTAAAATCTTAGAAAGTTTCAATTCTTTTTTTTATTTTAATCCTCAAAGAACTGCAAAAAAAATATTCATTCATCCCATACTGACTTCCGAAAGTATTTAAAAAGATCAAACCCTAACTCTCTTTTCATTAAACCTACTGAAAAAAATCAAATAATATCAGTTATTCTTTCTCTAAATGATGGCAAGGCTTCTGGTCCAAATAGCGTTCGAACCTTTATTCTAAAACTTCTTGCTAATGATATCTCTTCAGTACTTTCTAAACTATTTAATCTCTTATTTGCTACTGGTATATTCCCTTATATTTTAAAACTTGCATCTGTTAAAACAATCCATAAAAAGGACTTAAAACTTGACTGCAATAACAATCGACCAATATCATTATAACCAAATAACACCAAAATTCTTGAAAAATTAATGTATTCTAGTATCTACCACTATCTTGATAGTTCTAAGTGTCTCTACGGGCGCCAGTTTGGATTTCGTTTAAAACACTCTACTTTCCATGCACTTATTAGCCTTACTGAAATGATTCGTGGTGCGATTGATAGTAGTTCTTTTGCTTGTGGCGTCTTTATTGATCTCCAAAAAGCATTTGATACAGTTGACCATAAGATTTTATTTGAAAAATTGTATCACTATGGTATACGGGGTGTCACTAATGATTGGTTTTCATCCTATATTAAAAATTGTACTCGATAAATGGGTTTCAATCCGCAAGTAAAATTATTAAGTATGGTATCCCACAGGGTTCTGCTCTAGGGTCTTTACTGTTTTTATTATATATTAACGACATGCCTCACTCTATAAATAATTCGAATGTTTATCGAATTATTTATATAGTGAGAAAAAGGAAGTGTGTAATTTTAATTTACACGCTTCATTTTTCAACACTATCAAATATGGCAAGCTCTCTATAAAACATCACTGTCTTTCTCACTGGAAATTTTAACATTCACCGATTAAAATGGTATTTAATAATACCATTTGAATCGGTGAATGTTAAGAGGGTGAAAGTCTAACTATGAAAACTTTCGAGAAGTTAAAAAAAAACTGCATTTTCCCCCATTTTAATATTATTTACAATGATATTGGTAGTAATTCAATTGTAGTAATAGTTTTATGGTTATTGTCCTAATTTTTACAATTGTTATGTTTATTTCAATAATTTCTGTCATAGTTTTAAACTTTAGTATATTTATTTTTAGCATAGTTTTTATTATTACTTATAATTTTTAGTAAAGTTGTCATGTTATAGTTACTATTTGTAATGTTTTTTATTCACATTATTATTAATATTATTTTAATAAGATTATATTAATGATATTATTTTTATATTATTATTACACTTATCAATATTATCTTTATTTATTAGTGCTTTATTTTCCTTTCTTTCCTTTTTTTTTTATTTTTTATATTACTTATTTTTTCCTCTTTTTAATACCTTATCTTATTTTAAATTCTTTCTATGTTTTACTTATAGCTTTTTTTTTTTTTTTTTTTTTTTTTGTATTTGTTTTTGTTGTTGTTGTTGTTTTTTAGTTGTCACTCTATTGACTAGTTTTTAACTTTATGCGAGACACCTAACCTTATATATGTGAGTTTATAAAATATTGTTGTAAATTTCCATATTTTATGGTTAATTAAATGGATAAAAAAAAAATAGTTTTATTTATCTTTTTTTATAAAATGATAAAGAAAAATAAAAGTATCCATAGACTTGTTGCTTTTAAATCTTCAAAAAATGCAACATTCTGCTTTATTTTTCATAACTATAGCTATGAAGAAATTTTAATATTATTAATTTTTAAAAAATAAATTGCATCCTATTGTTTTAAATGTTGAAATAAAATCATTTTAATTACTTTATTTTTGTTCATTTGATTTTCTTAGCAATAATGTTAATATAATGTTAGTTTTGAAATTTTTTTCAAAACTAACATCATAAAAGCCATGGCCGACGACACGGTTTTCAAAGTGGAGCAATCTATTTCTAAAAAAAGTCCTCTATATCTACAACTTTCTATAAAAATAAAAAAATAAAAAAGTTTTTCAGAAAAAAAGCTGGGGGTAAGTGAAAACGTCCCCCCGGTGTCGTTGGCCCTGTAAGCGATAGAATTTTTTATTCAAACCTAGAGTATGAGACTCCTTCTTTCACATTTAGAGTATGAGACTCCTTCTTTCACATTTAGAGTATGAGACTCCTTCTTTCACATTTAGAGTATGAGACTCCTTCTATCTATACTCTATCTTAAGAGTTAAACTTTCTTTGGTTATACCAAGAGATAACTCTTACCTAGAGATAGTAACTTTTTGTATCTAGTATATGAATATAGAAACACAGAATTAAAATCTAAAACTCTTCCTATCATTATATATAGAGAAAAAGTACCACTAAAACCATTATTAGGACTATCACATCAACGACCCTCACATTAATTGCTGTTGTATTACGTAAATTCTTAAATTGCATTGCTTTTTTTTTATATATAAAAAACAATTCTCAAAATGACTTTCTATTTATAATTTCGATAAAAGTTTATTATTTTAAAATTTGCTTTGCTTTCTCTTTATTTTATGTTCAACGTCGTCATTTCTTATAACAAAATAAAAGCACATTTTCATTAATTCAATTAAATAATTTAATTATCACTTATATTTTTATAAATATGCAAAAAACAGCAAGTCTAAAATTAATATAAAAAATGACTAACCAACTATAATTTTTTTTATAAATAATAAAACAATAATTTTGTAGGAAAAATTATTATACTATTATCAATTATATATTTCAAGCGGAAATAACAGACAATCACAATATTAATAATGTATCTTGAACAGGAATAACTGAAGCAATCCCGGTGCCCAATTCATTTACAAATACAAATAAAAAGATTCTTTGCAAAAAATACATAATCTGATATGAACGACCAATCTGTCAGACTATTTAAACCAGTAGGAATTTTGTAAAATAATCTTTAGAAAAAGAAACGAAAAAAAGAAGTTGAGTTGAAACTTAGAAGATATAATAAAAAAAGTGGCAACATAAGTGAATGTGAGAAAACGTTCTTAACTAAATAACCTTAATTTGAAATTTTTAGCTTTTTACACAAAAAGTTTCAAAAACTGAAAAAAACAAAGCATTAATCCGCTAATCTTATTCAAAAACTAATTTGAGCTTTTTAACCCATTCTAAAACCATAGCAGTTTTTTGAATAATTCTTTTAGATAAGATCTAACATAGATAATAATACTGATTTTTAACGCTATAAAATCGTTTTTATTTGATTGTCCATATCATTTTTCAATCTAACTTGATCTATTAAAATGTTACGGTTATACATAAAATTTGTTATATATTATTATAAAATTAATATTTATCATTAATTTTTATATTTAGGATGAAGATCTTGATGATTTTTTCTTGCTTTTGGGTGTTGCTTTATGGTGCCGTCAAATTTAATATTCGACAGCTCAGTCACATTGCAAGCGAAATTTCTCGAACTGGTATCGAGACCAGTGAACAAAAAGAGATAATTAATAATTTGATATTAAACAATAGAGAGAAGTGTCAAGCTATACCTTTTATCGAGTACATCAATTATGAAGGATGTGATAAAGTTTCTATTCAGAATCTTTTATGTTTTGGATCATGTTATGTTAAACCTAAATATTTTGTCAATGAAAAACTTGCTTCCCTAAACATTTTTGGCAGTTGCCAACCTGTCAAATTGTTCCCTCGACTAATTTATCTCAATTGTTCAGACGGAAAAAAGAAAAAATTTATTACTCACAATATAACAAGCGAGTGTAGTTGTGCTGATTGATTATTTTTGTTGAGAATTTTGCGGTAACAATAAACAGTATTTCTTGACTTGCCTAAAATACTATATTATAGTTTTTTTAAACAGCATAAAGTCAATAAATCAACGAAAAAATAATAATATACTAATGGTAAAAATGTAATTAACAAAAACTTTTAGATTTTATGTTAATTCTTGTGACGCGTTTAATTATGCATTTAAAACTTTCACAAAAACTTAAAAAATTTTTATGCATCCAATTTAAAGATTAAAAAAAAGCACTAAAATTAAAAAATAGCTAAATTTTTATCTAGTATTATGTTTTTCTAATAAGGAAAAAGATGACGGCCCTGAAAAAAGACGATGGCCCTGAAAAAAACAATTATTGAAAAATCTCTTTTGAAACGTGCTTGTATTTAAACTTTAAATTGCCAATTCGTTATTTGCCACAAAGATCAAAATTAATTTTATAGATTTTTTTGTGTGGATAAGTCGTAAACATTTTAGTGTAAAGTTGTGTAATCTTCCTGTTCTTGTTTCTTGCAAGGGTTGACTTCATAAATGTTTCATAAAAATATTTTTTCATAAAAGTTTATGAAAAAATATTTCAATAATTAAAGTTATTTTATTTTGAAAAAATATTTTTTACCATTTAAATGTTTAAATGTTTAAATGTTTATGAGGCAATTGTAAAAAAATGTTTATGAGACAATTGTAAACAAAATGTTTATGAGACAGTAGTAAACAAAATGTTTATGAGACAATTGTAAACAAAATGCTTATGAGACAATTGTAAACAAAATGTTTAGGAGACAATTGTAAACAAAATGTTTATGAGACAATTATAAACAAAATACTTACGAAGCAACTGTAAACAAAATGAAATGTTTGTTATATAAAGTTCCCGTATTTTAGACTTAATTTTAATTTGAAATTATAAAATATTTATTAAATTACTAATCAGTTTAAAAAAATATTTAACAGAAGCATTAAGAATCATGTTTGTATCCTCATGCTGCTGCAAAAATCATGTTTGTACATAGCATAAGTACATAAGAAACAACTTGAAAAGTTAATGAAAATATTTTAAAACTTGAAACATGAGTTGAATTTAATCTCAAAATTCTTAAAATCAAAACTGAAACAAAAACTGATAGACTTTATGTTTAAGCATAGACTTATGAATATATAGATGTTTAACGTATTGTTTAAAAGCAAATAGCTCAGAAGCCATCTACATTTTTTTACGCCAGTTTTATCAGTAGGTTTGAAACTTTAGGAGTTGCAATAAATTTAAAATCAATAAGAAGTAGTTTGTCAGCTGTTCTATTAGGGTCATTTGGTGCCAAGGAACTCTAGAAAATAGTTCAAATAGTTTTTTGACCGTATAAGTATCAGGACCTTAAACTTTACAAATTAAAGTAGAATTATAATAAATATAATGCAAAATCAAACATCAAAAAATAGGACAATGTCAGGGTCAAACGGTTCAAATATGTTCTTCTAGATTAGTATCAATATTCAATATAATTCTCAAATAAATAAATCACCAATTATGGTAGCAGTTGTTGCTGAAACCCAGCTCATGGTATTGCTATTGTAATTTAAGAAAAGCTTGTTAAAAAGGAATTTCTAACAAATTTTCACATTAGAACAAACATTGAACACAGATGCAACTTTTCAAAGAAATTTCTAACAACTTCAATACCTGCAAGACAATAATGGAAACAGAGTGTTTTTTATTTGCACAAAAATAATTTCACATTTGTTTGAAAATTTGGGGAGAAAGTGTCCCAAAATTTAAAATAAAGCCAGTTTAAAAAGTCAAATTAAAAGTTGAAGAGACAATGAACCCTTTTTTCTAACGATGATAAGTAATTAATTTTAAAATAATTAGATCATTTCTTGCAGGTGGACGATCATTTCTGGCAGGTGGACGATCATGTGGCTTTTATTAACAATTTAGATTTTATGCGCAACAAAAATCTTATTTATCTTTTTATTATTTTCAATTTTTAGTTACCATTAGTTTCAATTATACCATTTTAGTTACTATGTCTAAAAAAGTGCTCTTACAAAAATGTGTGTACAAGTTTTAAGAAAATATTATACATGCAGAAAAGAAATACACATGATCATTTTGTAGCTGAAGGAGCAAGAAAATTAATCATTTATGATGTAATTAAGTGTTATGAAGATGGGATTGATGCAAATCAACAGACAGGAGCAGGCAAACCGGCTGTTATAAACAAGCTTATAAGACAAACCAGGTGTTAAAAACAAAAAAATTAAGGCAATCAACAAACAATAAAAGTGGTTTATCACAAAGAAAGTTGGCAGAAAAATTCAATTGTTGTTAACCGTATGTTTCAATGGTTCTAAATTATAAACTCGAATAATTGTTTTAAAAAAGTATATATATAGTATAACTATTTTTTTTAGTTTATCAAAATATATATGCTTTTTTTTCAGTTTGGAAATATCATTTTTACTCAAGGGCTGTTACTGTTGTGTTTATTTAAGTAAAAAAAAGGAAAATATTGTGTATAAATTAAGATGTTTTACTTTTTTTATTAGGTTAGGCGAGTTACTTTACCTGGATAATTTTTCACACAAAAAAATTATTACATAGAATTACATGTGTTAATTTTTTATGATTATTGAATTTTGTGTATCAAGTTAAGTTTTATTCTGGGTTAATTTAACAATTACGGCTTTGAGGAAGGGGAGTCTGACCCAGACTTTGCCCCACATTTTTTTCTTAGAGTTTGTATTTTACTAATACTTTAAAATACATTTGTGATGGTTTTTAGCCTTGATACTTTTGTGATATTTTGTGACATTTTATGACATTTTGTGACATTTTTTGTAATATATGGTCACATTAAGCCAAATTCAAGGGTTCCTGGACACCAAACGCCCTCAATTTAAAGCAGCGGACGAACAATTTCTTAGTAAGTACAATTTTATTATTACATCTAAGTTCACAAAAATGTTATCAACCTGATAATAATAGGTTAAAAAACTTTGGCTAGCTCTCAAAGTAAAAGATATTCGCGCTATCATTTATTATAAATAAAAAAACATTTAGCAGCAGAAGCATTTAACAGTAACAGCAGCGTAACGTGTTACGCTGCTGTTATTATAACGTTTACGTGTTACGCTGTTATTATAACGTAACGTGTTACGCTGCTGTTAGAATACTTTTATTTGGTTATACGTCATATTGACGTTTGTCTAAAATAAACAATAAAAAGAAAATTTATTATGTAAAGCACAAACTTTAAAATACTTTAAAAGCATCTTTAGTTTTAGAAATTAATTGAAAAATTAATTTCATATATATATATATATATATATATATATATATATATATATATATATATATATATATATATATATATATATATATATATATATATATATATATATATATATATATATATATATATATATATATATATATATGGATTTTAGTTATAGATTTAAGCTATTTCTTTGAGCTATAGCTTCAAGCTATAGCTATAAGAAATGATGTATTATAAACTAGATGTCTAACTTCGATCCGAAAAGTGAAGCCTTTTTTGCCCTTTTTACAAATGGCGGAATAAATTTGTAAGAAAATATTATTCAACTGTTCTTTTTTTAAATGAAGTAAGTATATTTTAAATATAAATACTAATTATTTAGAAGTGTTATAAGGATATTAGAATACTTGTAAAATAATAATTAATGTTTCCTAAATTCATTTCTGATTAGAAACGGATTAAAATGTTGAATAGAAAAGTGAAATGACAGACGCTTTTGAAGCTTTTTTTAAAATTATAATAAATTTTAATAAACCAAAGCTCATAAAGTTTTATAAGTATATCATAATTATTAAAACACGTTTTTTAAATTATCTTCAATTATTGGGATTTTTCGATGCTTTAAACTTGCATTTTTAACTTTTATTCCACGCATCTGTTTCAGATTTGCCCGTTTTACAAATGACGAACTATATTTATTAACAAAAATAAGCGGCTTCATTTTATGTCCTATGAAATCCCGCAAGTTAGACATCTAGTTTATATAATATATCATCGGCTTTAAGATATAGCTTTTTTAGATCATTAAAAACTAGACACGGCATTAACTATACAACACTGATCTTAAAGTGAAGCCAAAATAAACTTTGCGCAGTGACGTTAGTTTGTGGCAAAAAAAACAATTTTATCTCGAGTTTGCTCTTGCATCTTCACTTCCAACATGGCTGAAAGTTATCTTATATTTTTTGATTAATTTTATTTATGGTGCATACAATTCCACAAAGTGATTTAAAACTGTTATAGATATATCAAATAAAATTAAAAAAATCGAAACCATGGAATACTGTTGGAATCATTAAATCAATACATATTAAAAATAAACTTCACAAAAACTTTATAAAATGTAAAAATAAGATTTTTGAATACCCTCAAAAATTTAAATGTTATGAAAATCAAATAAACTACTTTATTTTATATTTCAATTCACCTTCCCTAGGCCATGAAGGCCACTACAGTCGAAGTAATTTAATTGTGGTTACAACCCTCTCTCAACTCTATAACTCCGAAACGCGAATCTTGATGAACAAGGCCGCTGCGCGGAGAAGCAAGTTGAGATATTCAGAAAAATCATACTACTCAAAATATTTTAAAGTAAACTTAAGCATTTATTTTAGAAAAACCTAAAAAGGAATAAAAGAAATTATTTCTATAAAGCCAAACAACCACAACACCATCGAAAGTTTAACTATAAATAAATAAATTATAACTAGTATGGTTCTAATCACAAACTCGTTAAACAATTTTTTTCCACAGTTGCAAAAATTTTTTCTGACAAATTTTGCTTTCGGTCAAAATAACATATCTACACAATTATATATATGAGCATCAAAAAAGCTACCCTTTAAGTATTTCAATTAACGAATCATCCGAATCTGAAGGCTTACTTTATATATTTAAAGTTGCTAAAGTTGTGCCTATTTTTAAAAGTGGATTCAAACTAGATTGTAACTATCAACCTAATTCTTTAGTTTCAAATATTGGCAAGCTACTCGAAAGGTTCGTGTTTAGAAAACTAGAAAGCTTTTTAAATTCAATCTAATATTCTTTACAGTCTTCAACTTGGTTTTCTTTAAAAGCACTGTACCACTGTAAGTACTGTCGTCTCCGCTCATTGACATAACTGCGACAATACGCAAAGCACTTGACCAAAAAAGTTTGCTTTTTAGGTACTTATTGGTTTGCAGAAGGTGTTTGATACTGTTGACCATGAAATTGTATTGTCTAAATTAAATCATTACAGTGTAAGTGGAGTTGCCCTTAAATGATTTGAGTCGTACCTCTACACTGCATTCTCAGTTTGTATGCATTAATAATACTTCACCCAATACTAAGCTTACATCTATTAGTGTTCTAGATAGTTGGATTTTAGGTCCTTTCCTTTAAAATAAAATTTCGTTAAATACTAAAAGGTCTAAAATTGTTATCTATAAATCTCAAAACAATAAAATTACAAATAAAATTAAATTCAAAATATACGGTCAAAAATAAATACTTTAAATTAAATAAAATATTTAGGCATTCCATCATTTAACTTCAAAATATTTGATAAACTATACAATAAATCTGAATTAAACTGCTTGGCTGGAAATTAAATATTTGTAAAGACTTTTTTTGAAGTTTTATTAGGCTTTTATCAAGAAAGTTAAATACATTATTCAAAAAAATAATGTTAAAATGTCTTAGGATCCCTACATTTTTTTTTTTTTTAAATAACTTGTTTGAATTGTTTGAATACAGCTATCATTAAACTCTTCTGTGCACAAACAAGGATGACGGTAAACTCATCCTACTATAATGTTTTTCAGTGGGGAATAAGATTTCAATGAATGTTGATTTAAGTTCTTTTAATTTTAGAATTTGAAGTTCAGATCTCAACTTGTACTTCAAGTTTAGTTTTATATACAGAACTGTCCCTTCTGTACTGAAATAACATTCAGTATGTTCAAAAATGTAGCCAAATAAAAAAATTTTTCTAAGCGCTTGATTTTTTTTTTTTTGTAAGGACTATCAGACATCTACCCAGCACACATGTAAGCGTTGAATCAACGTTGAAAACCAGTCGCAGCGTAGAAAAAGCGCTACAGTGACAAAAACAACGTGCTTTCAACGTTGAATCAATGTCTGTTTTTGTATACTAAATCGCGGTAAATTGAAACGTTGAATAAGCGTTGAAATTGTAACGTAATTTAGCCTCTCAAAATAAAACGTTTATTCAACGTGGAATCAACTTACGCAAAAAGTCACTTTAAAAACGTTTCGAAGTATATTCTTTATCAACGTTAAAAACAAACCGCTTTTTAAACGTTACATTTTCAACGTTGAATAAGCGTTTAAATTTAAACGTATCTTATCTTCTCAAAAAAATGCGTTTATTAAATGTTAAAATTTAATTAAAAAAAATAAGTACGCAAATAATCACTGTAAAAAGTCGCTAAGGTAATGGTTTATCAACGTTAGACATTAGCTGCTTTTTCAACGAATTTAAACTATTTGCAAAACAACACTTATTCAACGTTATTTCAACGTTGGTTGAAAATGCGGTAATTAAAAAACGTTGAAAAAGTGTTACTTTGCCAACGTTAATAAAACGTTGTTTTGACAATGTTGAGGAAGTGGCACATTGAAAATTATTGTCACAATAACTAGCCATTACAAAAATAATTTGCCGTAATGGAAAGGCAAGGAAAACTTGATAGAATGCATGCATATGGTATAAAAAATTGTTTAATAAAGTTACATTTTATAGCCTATTTTATTGCGACTAATTTAAAACTTTTAGATTTGATATCAAAATGTATATAAAGTACATAAATCTCAGGGTATATTCGATTTATCTAGCTTATTTTTGTCAATGTTTTATTTTGTTTTAAGTTGACGAGTTTAATAAAATGCTCAACTTTTTTAAAAATTTATTTCTTAGTTAGAAATAGTGCTTAGTTTTAATACAATTCACATTTATAAATTATTATCAAAATAATCAAAACATATAAGTCAGACAAAATTAAGTTA